CTAAGCTACTTCCTCCCCCCCTCCCCCCCTTCTCCCCTCTCCCCACTCTAGCCACCCCCCTCCCCCCCTTCTCCCCTCTCCCCACTCTAGCCACCCCCCTCCCCCCCTTCTCCCCTCCTCCCACTCTAGCCACCCCCCCCCCCCCATCCCTGTCCTCTGGAGAACCTGCGGAAGAGCCAATGGGCGTTGTTTGATACGCTTATCTCTTATCAGTTCGTTCTCCATTCAACCCCAACCCCCCCCCCCAACCCCCCTTCTTTTCCTCGTGAGATATAAGTGTAATTTTGATGTTCTTTTTTCTCTTTTTTTTTTTTTTCTTTATATATTTTTTTTGGTCGTTCTGTTTTGTTTTGTTTTCTTTATATATATATATTTTTTGGTCGTTCTGTTTTGTTTTGTTTTCTTTATATTTTTTTTTTGGTCGTTCTTTTTTTTTGTTTTGTTTTTTGTTCGTGTTGTATTTTTGGTACCTTATGTTTCTTTTGTCTTTCTTTCTTTCTGTCAGTCTGTTTCTCTATCTGTCTGTTTGTCTGTCTGTCTGTCTCTCTCTCTCTCTCTCTCTCTCTCTCTCTCTCTCTCTCTCTCTCTCACACACACACACTCTCTCTCTCTCTCTCTCTCTCTCTCTCTCTCTCTCTCTCTCTCTCTCTCTCTCCCTCCCTCCCTCCCTCCCTCCCTCCCTCCCTCCCTCCCTCCCTCCCTCCCTCCCCCCCCTCCCCCCCCTCCCCCCCCTCTCTCTCTCTCTCTTTCTCTCTCTCTCTCTCTCTCCCTCTCCCTTTCCTCTCCCCCTCTCTCTCTCCCTCTAACTCCTCCCTCCCTCTCCCTCTTTCTCTCTTCTCGTACACACCCCTACTCCCTCCCCCTCCCCCTCCTCCTCCGCCCTCCCCTTCTCCCCATACCCCCCTCTCCCCCAAACCCATAGAGAATAGTAATGAAAAAAAAGGTAATTCCTATACATCCATAAACATAAAAAAAAAGAAAAAAAAGAAAAAAAAAGAAAAAGAAAATAGAAAAAAAAACGGGAGGCAGGGAGGGAGGGAGAGAAGGTAAGGAGGGAGGGAGGGTAAGGAGGGAGGGAAGGAAGGAGGGAGGGAGGGTAAGGAGGGAGAGTAAGGAGGGAGGGAGGGAGGGTAAAGGAGGAGGGAAGGAAGGAGGGAGGGAGGGAGGATAAGGAGGGAGGGAGAGTATGGAGGGAGGGAGGGAGGGTGAGGAGGAGGGAAAGGTCCACTCCCCGAGAGCGATAAGGTCGAACTCGCCATGCATGTTGTATGAGGCGTTCGCTCCTACATGTCCATTCCGAGCGACGTGGAGGCAGTGGTTGTGACTGTCAATTAGTTCCCAGAGATTAATAATTCATGTTGCCGGGGCTATTCGTGGGGGGGAGGGGGAGGGAGGGAGAGATGGAGATGAGGGAGAAGAGGAAGGGAAGGAGGAAGGGAGGGAGGGAGAGATGAG